GGGGGGGCGGAAGGGCGAGGAGGAACATGTGGCTCGGAGGACCCAACGGCTGCGGACGCCGCACTCCGGGGGGAAACAAGAAAAGGAGGGGGAGATAGAAACTCTACACGCACTCTCCTCTCCGCCCTCCACCTCACCCTGCCCGTCCTGGAGCAGGTCGGAGGGAGGTCTTCTTGCAGCGTGAGCAAAGTATGAGAAGGAAACAGTAGCGGAGTCCATTCAGATTGCTGAAGGGGGTGGGATGATGTGGGTAAAACAACTCTGCAAAGGGATATAGGGTACTTCGGGGCTCGGCGAGACCAGACCGGAAGGAGAAGAACAAAAATCTTTGCGCGGGGGTCTGTCTGCTACTCCCCGTGCCCACTATTTTTGTTCTTTGCATGTTTGGACTCCTATTTTTTAAAAACGTAAAATGTTTTCACACCGACCAGGCGGGCCCTTTTCAGAGAATTGAGTCGAGCTGCCGTCCTGACGGCAAGATATTGCCTTTGAGCCCCCTGCGACCGCCTCCGCCCCACCCCACCTGACTTGCGACCGTTTCCAGAAGCCAGGGCGGAGGCCCCCCCCCCCCCTAACCTCGCCCGAACTGCCCCGTCTCACGACCTCCATAGCTCAGCATTTGGTGCGACTAGAGCAGCTCAGCCCGCCGGAGCGACGGCCGGAGGCCTAAACAAACAAGTTCATTTCGCACCTCGGCTGAGCCGCACCGCGCCGGGTGGGCCATCGACAGGGCGTACTTACAAATCGGGACGGGTCGGGGCTGGTGGGGCGTGTCGGCAGGTTCTGGAGGAGGCCAGCAGGGGCGCCACTCCACCGCAGGAGAGGGAGGGGGCGGGAGAAGAGGGAGGGGTCGTGCAGAATTTATATTTTAATTTGAGGCAAGGCATCGGGGTGGAGCCAGCCTGCCCTGCCGGTCGGTCGGACCTGGGGATCGGCTCTGCTTCCCTTATTAGCAGAGAGGACGGCTGCTAATAAATCGAAGGTAATGCTCGCTAATAATGCGATATGGCGCCCTGTCCCCGCCCTCTCCGAGCCGCCTCGCCTCGGCCGATCCCCCCGGCAGTGCGCGTTTAACGCAACAGGGAGAGACCGGGCCCTAAATGATACACTACACGGCTGGAGCAGCGAGCCAAGGCGAGGGGGCCGCTCCAGGGGCTGCTCCAGGAGCTGCTCCAGGCGGAACTCAAGGTACACACTCAATGTCAGTTGCACAGCAGGCGCACTCACGGACCCTTGACTATTTTGTAGTTGCACGACACGACAACGCGAGATTGCACTCTACCTCGAGGGAGTAATCATCCTATTTTTGCGTCATCATACATATTTACACCTCATTACATTGTTATGTACAACGACGTCCGGCTGGTGTCTTAAGTTTTAATTCGCTGCTAGTACAAAGTTAGAGTACTGCACGTCATTTAAGCACAGGCCTGGGTGTACGAGTTGGTACGCGGGCCTGGTTAGGTATACATGCCAGCCGAAGCTCGCCCGCCCCGTGGCGATAGGCAGACTCGCCGGCGCCCCTGCATGCCGTACAGAATACACGAGAAAATAGGCATGGGTCCCGGGGCATATTGCAAAGTTTAAGTGTCACGCGTCTAATATCACATCACCCGCCAATGCTTTCTGGATGTGACCGGTACGCTGGAACAGACGCACTCCCTCGGCCTCTCTCACTCACAAGCATTATAACATGATGTGTAGACGACCCCTTACCACATCCCCATAAGGAAATCACCTTAAAGAGCACAGGGAAGCTGTGCATATTTCGCATACACAACACAAGCGACGGGGATTGGAAATAACAAACAAACAAGCATGTATATTTTGGGAAACATTCCTTACGTAACCATCCCCCTTTTGTTTCGCAACCCCCGGCCGCCCCCCGCGGGCTACCCGCGAGCGGGCGGGAGGGCTCCCCACGCCCCACGCCTCACCGTGCCTCTCCGCCCCGCGGTGAGCAAAGCCCCCAGTGCGTATTCAAAAACACACACCATCCTCTGTCGCCCCCGCCGCGCACGCCACCCGCGCTGTAAGCTCCCTCCAACTCCGCAAAGCTCCCCCTTCCTCAGAATGGCAAGCGTCTAAGATCTGCACACCTTTCTCGCCCGGCCGGCCGGGTTCCTCGTGGGTGGGCGGCCCGGCGGGCCCCGCTCGGAACATGTCAACATTGTCAACGCACAATGCCGCCATTAAAATGAGGAGTCCGCATCTATTGCGACAACAATGCAAATGCAGCCATTACGATGCGGCATGTTTCGCGCGCTGCGGCCGGGCCTGGCCGGGCTCACATCAGCCGGCCCAGCCGCGGCCAGGGCGCCCCAGCCCAGAGGGGCGGCCAGCAGCGTTGCGCCCCGGCCCCGCCCGGCCCACCCTGGATGCGTGCGGACTATCGCGCAAAGGGCACGTACTATTTGCGTCTGCCGGTCCTGTCCCGCCTCCCCCCGCCCCGCCAAGCCACCGTGCCGGCGCACCCCGCAGCGAGCATGCCGTCGGCGGGAGGGAAGGCCAGGCCTACTGTTTACGGAAAGGAACCTTGGTTGGTTTTTCTTGAGAATACCACAACAGTGGTTGTGATCATCATGTCTGTTGAGGCTGAGAGCAAAGTAGCCTTTAATATTCACAGTTAATCCAGGACAATCTCAACAACACAAAATGCTAGCCCATTATAATTAGTGAAATAAGCAAATTAAATGGCAGGTAATGTCTTCGGGACACTGAACATGGTTAGAAAGCCAAAGCTTGTTCATAAAGCTACGGTCAAGAGCGAACGTCTACACTACACTCCCTCAGAAATATTAACTTTCTCACAGTATTTTTACAACCTCCTGAGCCGGAGTTGCTCGTAGTGGAAGAGACTTTAGCAAAGGTCCAGTTTGGTTTCAAGTGGACATTACTCCGTCGCGGACACGACGGGACTAATATAGATTTTTTTTGCGCGCTATCGAAGCAGTCACGCGTGTTTTGCATCTGCGCCACAGCAATGTTTTTATTTCTGATCCTCGTAGTCGAGTTCTTATCCGCCAAGCAGACTGTACAGACCAAGAGTTTGAGCTACGACGACACTCAAGTAAGATATCTGCTCTACAAATAACAGTTTGTGACCTCCACCCAGCCAGAAAAGCATTTTCTACTCGACTTCGATTAGATGTCCAATGACGATGACGTTTACTTTTGGCCCATTTAGACCTCTATGAAGACATCTATTTGTTCCGAAAGTACAGTAGGTAGAGCTGAACTCATTGAATGCGCTTAAATCGACCTCATGAAAGGTGACACATCACATAGGTGACGATTTTCAAGAGCAGCAAAGCATTTAATGGATGTGATTGGAGATCTTTTTGTGAAGGTGGCCAGTTTGATCGTCAACTGTCATGTGACTATATCAAAATTACGCAAATTAAAACGTTTGTAACTTTTGTACTTTACCTCGAACTTAAAACTATTCTAAAGTAACCTACTCTGAATGAGGGAAAGAGATTCACACTAGTCGATGTCCCGTAGATATTCTGAAAGGCGCGGACAAGGAACGAGCCGGAGGCATATCAAATAAATGGTGTGAGATTCATTCGTTCAATTCAAAATTTGCCGCCAACCCAGTGTAGTGACAGCAAGGGAAAGTTCCACGGAATTTCTCATACAACCATAGATTTTTCATAGCCATACTTTGCGGCTGTACCAACTCTAAGAACGTAACCTCGCAACGCGCTAGTTTTTATCACGAGTTTTAATTCACTGAGTACTGCCAGAACATTTGCAATGCATTAATTGAGTTTCAGTGATTGAACGCGAAAGTCGAGCTTCATATCAGTTGACTTCGAAACTTCTTTTATACTATTTCGCGATGGCTAAAATGAACCTTCATAATGTAAATATGGCCGCCGCGCTAAACACAGAAATGTTGTCGCGAGTTCCTTTAATTGTTGTTGTTGGTGCTACAGGGACTGGAAAAACTAAACTATCAGTGGAATTAGCGAAGAAGTTTGGTGGAGAAATTATAAATGCCGATTCCATGCAGGTCAGTGTCTGTTGTGTCTTGTAGAGTTCAAAGGGATGGATGTAACCTAGAACCTGGACAATGTGGTGGGGTTGTGAGGTAATAATTCAGTCACATTTCGATAGATTTCGTCCCGGGAGAAGCGTTATCAATCATCTAATTTGTCAGAAACGTGCTTTTATCGCATGCTAATATCTTAAAATAACGTTATCGGTGTCCGTGAGGCGCTGTCAATTAATGTTTAAGGTACCATGTGGGTGTAAACAAAGGAGGTTGTACCATGAGGTAAACAAGAGAATGAATGATGAGCAGAAGGACTTTACTAAAATCTTATTTTTGAGTATAGTTACTGTTAAAGTCTGTTGTGTTGGGGTGATTACGTTTCCTTGTCTGAGTAATCTCAATTGCTTCTGACAATATATTTCTTGTGAGTGTTATTGTAAGATAAGAATTATTAAGTATCGTATTGGCGATGCTCTCCATAGCATTTTCTTAGCATTGATATTTGGTCGCAAATTCTGTAGTGATGACAGTAGCTAAGTTTATCGATGATTATGATGATGTCAGCAACCGTAGTTTATCCCCTCTCAAAACTCAACAAAGTTTAACTCTTAGTGAAAATGGAAAAGTACTACACATTTTATACCAAATAAAATTTAACTTGTAGTTGTTACTTTTGTCTCTAGGGTAGTCCAATAATAAAAATTACATCAATGCTTATAAAGTTCAGTGTTTGCTGTGTTCTATAAGTTTTTTAATATATGGTATTTAGTGAGGTTAAAACATACGAGTATATATATGAGCATGAGTTTGCTTAATACTCTTATACTTTGAACTAATGATTTTGATGACAATGCATGTCTCTCAGTGCATCGTGATATCGTACCACGTGCCAAGATAGTATTGATGCCCCACTTTTCTTACATAATCAGTTTCTTTTTGAGTAGGGGAGAAATCATGCCACGCAATGTTAATCCACTACCGGGTCGTCCATGGTAGATAAGGGGTGAAAGGTGGGGGAAGAGCCTCATCAATGTTGGCCCAGATTCTTTAGCTAGTAGTGAACTGAAAGAGTTGTTGCTATAATTGCTCCTCTCCGTTTTTATCTTTGATTGATTGATTTTCTTCTTTTTTAAAAAAAGTTGTGTTTGTGCACATTGTTATGCAGAAATTGGCGAAGTAAATTTTTAGCCGGTAGAACGACATGAGAATGACTTGTCAGTACTTCTGACATACAAGTGGGTTGATTGCATGCCTGCCCCATTTGAGTATGGATCCGGAAGACTGCCTGATACTCGCTCTGCTATCTGCGCTGGCGCCAGTTGTTTAGCCTCGATATGACGGAGAGTGCCAAGGACTACTGATAGAGATGAAACAGCCTAGTCGAGCCTGGCAGGCCGAGCAACATACGATCGCACAGGGTTTTCCCTCGAAATCGTACTCACAGTAAGGGGAGAGGTGGTTACCCTTTGCAAGTTTACCCAACTATATACTTAACATGAAAATTATGTTTGACGCTTAATGAAGAAGCTGAGTTCAGAGTGGCGCAGGGCAGGAGGGAGATGGACTCGTCGTGCTGCATGGTGGTCTGCCTAACCACCAGGCGCTCGCGCGGCCGCTCAGTAGTAGTAGTCACCTCGTATTGTCCACCCTCTGCAGAGGGGTCGGGTCATACCAATACTATACCGGGTGACTCAGAGAAGATTTGGGTAGGTTTGCCTACCCAACGGGCTATGGCGCCTCACGGACAGAGCGCGTAGGCAAACCAGCTCGCACCTGCGTCTTTTCTGAATCACCCGGTACGTGATTCAGGGGAGGGGGGGGGGAGGTAGGCCCATTGCAAATTGTACACCATATCCCGAACACATGAGGACGGTTAGGATAGGCAGTCCACGAAGGGGGAAGGTCAAAAAGTGTCCAAAAAGTCACAGAGCAGGCTTCCCCCTTTCACTTGTGTTTCTGGCAGTGACAGTGTCACGGAGTCTCTTTCGGGCGCTTTTGTCACCTGACCAGTAGTGTCTTCTCCGTGTCGGCGCCACCGTCACCCTCGTTGGCAACCACTGCCTCAGTGGCCAAACCGCTCCAAAAACGGTTTGGGCACGTGTGGCCTTGACCGTGGGTGTGGGTCAAAGAGATACCCCCGGCGGTGTCCGCGGGCCGTCCCAGACGGAATACCACGTGGCTCGCGGCCGGGTTGCGTTGGACGAGTCAACGTCTCGTCGCAATTTAACTTTTAAATCGCAATAGCTGTAGATTAAAAATAAATAAATCTAAGTTTACGACGAAACGAACAACTGAAAATCAGTTTGAAAAAATTATTTCTA